ATATTGCGTCGAATATATCAAGTTATGGTATGTTCAGGTGATTTCGAATCCTTGGATTGCCTGCCTATGTACAAATCATACCTAAAGCCTTCCGCACTGACTGACTGGACACGAGTTGTTGCAGCAGTGTGCGTGGCTCTAAGACTACAATCCCAGTTTTTAGTCGAGATGGAGTCGGATTTGTTTAGATTTAACTTGAAGATTCAACGAGATGTTACATGTAAAACGTCTAGAGCCGTGGATGTGATGAGATGTGTGATAGCTAAGACTGCGTACAACCCGGTCCCGGTACTTTTATCCAATGAGGTAGCGGGCTTTAAGCACGTGACTTAATCACTATGACATAATTTTCAATGGAAGAGCCTGAGGAAGGAGACAGCTTGAGACTGGTTGCAATATCTGTATTTGTTTATATAGCACTAAAGCATACTCAAATTGATACTGAAAAAGGTTCCTCATCGCATTAGCACTGAAGTGGGTTCGCCAAATATGACTTCTCTGAACAACTTTCCACCCACGGTCTCACTCTGTAGTGCAGTATTTTGTCGATGCGTCTTGTAATAGTTTTGTGATCCCACATTTTATTTAAAAACGTGAAGAAATTATTACAAAATACGTACAGTGTAGGTATTCTTGTCGGCGTCAGTTCTTGCAACTCCACAACGCAGCAATGACCTTTTGAAAACAGAAATTGTAGCAGATTGGTCCCAAGTATGCGCCATTCATCTTGGTACGTTGTATGCCGAGAGAAATGATGTTGAAGTCCGATGTATTCAGTCGTAGCAGTCACGGTGTGCGAAAAGACTGAACTCATCTGAACGCAACTGAAACTAGATGCTGTGCACACTCAGATGTGATGTGTCTATGCGTGAAGTGTCAGTCATTGTGCGTCGGGCTTTTTGGCAACCTGTTGCTGATTCAGATAAAAATTCCATACACTAATATCCGATCAGTTATCAGGGGCGGATAAAGGATTTTTCATGGGGGGGGGTCCACACTTTAAAATCGCCAGACTAAGTTAATGATTTTTTTTTATATTATACAAAAACAAATTGAATACATTTTTCAACGGGGAGGGGGGGTCATAGACCCCAAGACCCCCCTAGATCCGCCACTGCTTATTAGTACAAGAATGTACAAAAACAATAGGTCAAGTTTACATATAACGAGTTATAGGAACTTTGACAACAAACATGTCAGATACATGCGGTACAAAGGTGCAAATTGCATACTAGTACGGGTCTACAGCACTAGTAACTGTTAATTTGATAATACCTTAGCATTTTAAAGCATGGCGTATTGATGAAAGGTGAATTTCAGATCAATTTGTTTGGATAAATGTAAGTTTAAATAAAAAGCTTTCAGACAGCATATGACATAGGGTGACATCATCGTGTATATTTTTAAAATGGTCGAACATATCAACCAGAATTGAAAAGCACAGCCAGCTAATGGCCCATTTACTATTACTTAACGAAATTACGTTATGCCGTTTCTAGTTGTGGGTCATGGGAGCTCCATTATCTACTTTATAAAAACACCCTACACATTCATATTTTACTTGATGCTTCTGTCAATTTATATTCAGAAAGGATTAATTGTCCACACTTAAAAATTGGTTAAAAATTGTATTATTTACCTAGTAACGACTGAGCATAGGTAGCTCAGACACGCAGGTGGTGTTGTTATGAGCTCAGCTAAGAACCTATTATAAACACTCACTACGGAACTTGACGGTCTCGGTCATTGCATCAGTAATAACACAGGATACATTACCTACAGAAAGCAGTCTAAATTGATACTACATTTTGCAGGTACGCTTTGCAGTACGACCTTCTGGACGCTCGATTGTTGGCGTTTTCTGTGTCATCAGCCAAGAGCGGTTAGTTAGAAGGTAGGATTTTCTCAAAGATGCAAATATATTCCGCGTAACACTTGTTGGCATTCGTTATGCGTGTTTCTTGCAGTGTCAGGAAATTGTGTTGATATGACGGCTCCTATCGCGATTTCCTGTCAATCATCACATCCCGTTCTACATATATACTGATCTCTATTACACCAGGGAGCTAAAAAGACATGACGTTGTGTGGAGATAAGCTTAGCAACTGGTTCGGATGATAGTTAAATACTCCTAGTAGACACAGTCAGCTTTTCCCAGCCTCTACTTAAA